AATTAACTGAGAACTTGAAAACGCGCAAAAAAGACGTGCTACAACAGAATAAATTACACGACGTCAAACTCGTGACACTGTACAAACGTCAACTACTCTGGGCTCCGATCCGTCTACCGCCTGTAGTCGGTTGGTCGTTGGAGGGGCGGTAGTTCAAGTTAACATTTTCACTCGTTCTACGAAATTATGTAATAACTATAAATTCTATGACTAGACTATCCCCTGGACCACATATATTCCCTTCGCAATAATTCTCGACTATGAAGACATCTATCTCCGCAAGACTTCTTGTAAAATAGAATAAAGGGATGTCGGGGAAAAAAGCCCCATAAGTTAAGCTAGCGCTAATGTAAAGACCCTGTAACAATTTATGTGTATTTTAGTCCACCCTCCTTAAAAATATTTTTTTCTTTTAAATCATCATCAAAGTGGTCTACTAAAATATTTCCGAATTTTCGTTTACCTTCAAAGTGCAGGGTTCAGAAAATAGTACTATTGGGTAGTTAAGTAAAAATCAGAAATAAATTTATTAGAATTTAACACTAGATAATTCAATGGATTAATGATGTTAAATCTTTAAGATTAGTACTTTCTCTACTTTAAGTAGTCTACATTTTATTCCTTTTAGAATTTAGGTACTAAGAACTTCTAAACCAATATATAAGTACTCAATGTAATACAGAAAAAACAAAGTTATGGAACCTTTATAATCATTAATTTGAAGCTATTTTAGTAACCCACAGAGAATTTATTTTAAATGCCATTATTCTAACTAAATAACAGACATTGTATAATATTATTTTAAAAGAAACTTACGTTTGATTGCATAACATTATTGACCATCATAGGACTCCAATTTGCTATAAATTCGCTGAAATCTGTAATTTTCCATTTAATAAATATTCATCAAATGTAAAAACAAATAAATAACTCTTTGTTTTTTATCTATGTTAAAACTAATAAGTAATATAAAATTATTATACAATGCTACATGGCAAAAAAAGTTATGTGATAATTTAAATATATTAAAACCTGTGGAAATATACTAAGGCTATTATTGAGAATAACTGTACAGACTGCTACAATCTTAAAATTACTTTTGTAATTATTATATGATATTTTACCGTCGTAATTTATATAGCTATCTTTATTGCCATCGCATGCCCTAAGACAGTTAATTAATTCCTGTGAGTTTTCTTCAAAATTATGGCCATTCTTATAAAGCACTGTGTCTATTAATTGCTCATACTTGATCATTTTACTTTTACTATCAACTAGACTATTAAAAACTTTCTGTTGAATGTCATTCATAATATCTATTTGGAATTCTTCCATGTCTAAAGTTTGATCTGAGTTTTTTGAATTTTCTACAATTAGTAAAGAGTTTGAGACTCATAAACTATAAATTAAATTACAAACTAACAATGGTATTAATGAATAAAATGTTAATCTAATCACTAATAAAGTACAAAATAATAAATTTGTATAAAATGAGATGGGTTCAAATATCACTAATAAAGTATTTTCAACTAATATTGAAAATGACGATATATTTTGACAATGTTTTTATCATACAGTTTATATTTGACATATTTTTCAAGTAATTCTTTTTAGATTTTGGACCAAACATCTTTTTCAACATTTCAAGTAAATAAAAAAAAACTGAGTTATGAAATAATTTAATATCTTACCCAATGAAATTTCAATAACTTCTATCAAAAAATGTTGTACATCATTAACGTTATTTAAAAGTTGTTGCAATTTAAAAAGCCGATATCGAAATTCATGTGGCTTTAGAGCATTTATCTAAATGATCAAACAATATTCATATTAATAAAATAACATGAAACTTCTAGTTCGATATTTTTAATTGTACCAGACATTATGGACGAAGATACGAAGTATTTATTTTACCTTCATAAGTCTATGAGGAGGAAATATTTTAACGTTTCCACATACTTAAATAAAATTACTTCTAGTAAGTATATTTTATGTAGTAACAGATTATAAAATTTTTATAGTTATAAGGAATGATGAATAATTTTATAAAGCGCGCCCTTCCATTAATATAATTTAAATAATTTCAATAGAAAATATTCAATCTTTCTTTATTTCAGAAATAAAATTTCGATTTTTTTCAATTATTGCAATATTTCAAAAATAATCGTTATTGTTGGAAAAATGATAAAAAATAAAATAAATGCTTACCATAGGTATCATATACAGTAATATGAAATAAAAAATTCTGTAATAGAGAGTATTTACAATCATGCTTTAGTTCTGAAGTTGATAAATAATAAATTTAACATTTGTAGTCAAACACATTTTTCATAGGTTTGCCATTTATATAACTTAAAAATGAAACTTTGAATTAGCGAATAAACTATGACTTAAGTGTTAAGTCATAGTTTATTTAATTTAACAGAATTCTATACCAATATATCACTACATCGTAAATAATATCGATGATATATGTCTTTTTCATGTATTTTGTGAGTTTTGAAAACAACATAATTTTTTCTAATTAACAATGGCATAAAATCTAATTATTTAAATTTTAGCCTCAACCGTAATATAATTAGTTTATATGTTTGTCATCAACAAAAAATTCAATTTTAACAAAAATCATTGTCAATACAAAAATAAAAACATTTTACATAATATCTAGAGTACAAAAACCAGTTAATGCGATGGGAACATACCACAAATTATCAAGAGGCCAAACGCCCAGTTAAGTGATGTTACAAGTTAACATCACAAATTAACTAGAATACAACCACTTTGAAGGACTATAAATATCGATTAAAAACTAATATACTAACTCCGGCTCCCTTTCAAAACGAATAAATTTTTCGCCTTTTACTAAAGATTTCCGTGGTGGAGAGCAATAAAAGGAGTCTAGAAATACAATTTTGTTATATGGTGATTTTGTTTTATAACTGAATAATATCATCACAATCGAGCTCTTACGAATATTACATTATAACTGCTTTTACAAGTTAAACTAGTACTTGTAATTTCAGATACAAATATCAGACGAAAAATAATTAACTGAGAACTTGAAAACGCGCAAAAAAGACGTGCTACAACAGAATAAATTACACGACGTCAAACTCGTGACACTGTACAAACGTCAACTACTCTGGGCTCCGATCCGTCTACCGCCTGTAGTCGGTTGGTCGTTGGAGGGGCGGTAGTTCAAGTTAACATTTTCACTCGTTCTACGAAATTATGTAATAACTATAAATTCTATGACTAGACTATCCCCTGGACCACATATATTCCCTTCGCAATAATTCTCGACTATGAAGACATCTATCTCGCATATATATAGATAGATATCTATATAATATATATTATATTATATAGATATCTATCTATATAATAGATCATACGTTCAATTCATTATTATAGTAATAAAAAACCCAGCACAGGGGGGTCGCGGCACAGTGGTGACGTGGTATAGATGGATTAAGTATAATGATATCTGACAGTGATTAAAATCACTATCAAAAAAAAAACGCTTCGATGCAAATCTTTAGATAGTGTTTAATTTTAAAAAATTGGTGGACTATTCCAAAAGCTACATTATCTGCTAGTTCATTATTAATATCCTAATTAAGATAAAGTATGTAGAATGAAAAAGGGATTATTAAAAAATATTATTTCTCATAAAAAAATAATGTTGATCCATACACTTTTCAATATGTCATAGCATTATAAAGTTAAAAAT